TTTTCTGAATATAATCTATCCATCTTCTCCATACAATAATATATCTTTCTTGTGTATGATCCTTCAAATAAGCAGAAATTTTTGCCATTTCTGCAAAGTTAGAAACTTTAAATATCCATTCTTCTAAAGTAGGCAACGAGTCCTTCTTCCAATACGAGCCTACTAATAACCTTGCTGCAGTTAATAAATTCAACATTAAAGTAGTTTCTTTGTCATTTAAATCCACAAAGATACCCAATAGGAATAATTGAGGGGTGAACTTTATCTCCCTAACAGTGACAATTGCAATTTTTTCCAGTCATTTAAATCCTTTTGCACTTTTGCCCATAGTAATTCATAATTATTTTTATACAATTTTCCATTTGAGGCAGTTAAATATACTCCCAGATATTTAACCTTTTTCACCATCTGAAAACCTGTAGCTTTAACCAAACTTTCCTTGTCGTTGGCTAACATATTCTTAGATAATATCTTAGTCTTATGGTTATTGACTTTAAAACCAGAAACTTTTCATACTGTGTTATAAGTTCTAATAAACAATCAACCGCTCTAATCGGTTGTTCCAAAATCAAAACCAAATCATCCGCAAAAGCCCGTAATTTATACTCATTTTTTCTTATCTTTATGCCCTTGATTACCGTTGATTCTCGAATCTGGATCAACAAAATCTCCAATGTTAAAACATTGTCTTGTCCCTTTTTCAATATTAAAAGTCTCAGTCAATCCCCCATTAACAATTTGAGCTGATTGTTGCTGATATATAGCTTTAAGTGCATGTAAAAAATTATCCCCAAAATTCATTTTCTCTACCAATGAGAATAAGAATTGCCAATCTAATTGATCAAAGGCTTTTTCAGCATCCAAAAATATAAAAGCCACAGGAATCTGGTTGTTCTTATCCAAATACTCAATTAATAATTTGTCTAACATTATATTTCATGTATCGCCCTGTTATGAATCCTGATTGATCACTGTGAATCAAATCCTTCATAACCTGCATTAATCTATTTGCCAAAATTTTTGTAAAAATCTTGTAATCTACATTTAATAATGATATCGGCCTATAATTCTTAGGCTCTGTAAGATTTTGATCCTCCTTCGGAATCAATGATATAAACGCTCTTTTCCAAGAAGGAGGAACTTGTGCTCCCAGCAAGATACTATTAAAAAGCTCCTTTAATGGCTCTAACATTTCTTCATATAAATTTTTATAATACGTCGACGTCAATCCTTCTGTTCCTGGAGACTTTCCCACTTTTAACTGCTTGATAGCTAAGCCAATTTCCTCCACAGTAATTAAACAATTCATCCCATTTTGCTGTTCCTCAGAAAGTTTAGGAAAATGTACTGATTGTAAATATTTCTCTATATCCATTCCCTTTATATTATCACTTGAGTATAGTTTTGTGTAAAAATCTAAAAAACTCTTTTTAATCAAATTTTGCTGAAAAACCTTAGTACCTTTATATTTTACTTTGTCTATAATCCTAGCCTTCTGTTTCTTTCGTAACTGATAAGCCAACCACCTCCCAGGCTTATTCGCATTACAAAAAGTATTATGTCTCATATAACGCAAATTGGTAGCCATCTGATCTGCCATCAACATATTAAATTGTTCCCTAAGCATCTTTATAGGAACCTTTAAGTTATTATCAGTTGGGTTAAGAGCAAGCGCTTCTTCTTTTATTTTAATCTCATCTTCTATTTCTCTACGTCTTTGTATCCTTTTATCCCTAAAAACTTTATTTAAATCAATTAAAATTCCTCTCATATACGCCTTACTGGCGTCCTAGACCATGGGCATCGATGTACCCTTATTCATATTTAAAGCAAAAAACTCCTTTAAATACTCTTTACATTTTTGTACAAACTCTCCACAGATAAACAAATTCTCATTCAGTCTCCAAGGCCTTCTGTTCCCATCTTCCAGGTATAGCTCCATCCACATAGGACTATGGTCTGAAAGAGTCCTGGGAAAGATTTTTACCTTTCTCACCCTAGAAAAAAAATCACTAGTAATCAAAAAGAAGTCAATCCTTGAAAATGACTGGTGTCTATCCGAATAGAAGGTAAAATCTCTATCACTTGTGTTCCTTTCTCGCCAAATGTCAATAAGTTCCAACTCTTCTTTCAAATCAAAAAAAGTTTTGGGTAATTTAGTTTGAATGAAATTTTTGAAGAGCTCTTTTTATCTATAGTTATATCCAAAACTCCATTCCAGTCACCCATCAAAATTACAGATTTATAATCCAACTGGGATATCTTCCCGTGCAAAAGCTTATAAAATTGCTTCTGTTGTTGATTAGGGGCATATAATCCAACAATAAGAACTTTCTTGCCTTGTAACAGTAGTTCCACAAAGACATATCTTCCTTCAAGATCAACCTCAATTAATTTAGCCGATAAATTTTTCTTCACATAAATTACAAAACCCCTTTTTTCCCTGGAGCTGGAGCTATAAAATGTGATCCCAAACGAGAATTTGTCAGATATTTTGAGTCTTTTGAAGTTATATGAGTCTCTTGCAAACATATCAAGTCATTATTATGTTGTTTCAAATAGTAGAAGACCTTTCTCCGTTTCTGAGGTGAGTTTAAGCCATTAACATTCCAGGTCAGGAACTTGGCCATCTACACCAGCCTGAAGCCTTTGAAGCATAGCCTGAAGATCAACTGTCGAAGATCTTTTAGGTCTTGCCCCTCCCATAGGCTCTGTAGTAACCATTCCTTCTACTTTATCGCCACTCTTCTGCTGCTGCTCTTTTTCTTTGCGTTTATGGGTAGCTCGTGTCATCCTTTGATCTTTTATCTCAAGATTCTGTACAGGCAATACCACTTGTTCCATGACCATCAATGAGGAAGCTCCTGCCATAACGGGCTCTTCAATTATCCTTATTTGTGGAGGTGAAGACGGTCTTGCCTTTAGAATAGAGTGATAGAAATTTCTTGCCTTTAAAACTGTAGTTAATCTGTAATGTATTCCATCATAATTCACTACTATTCCTCTTGGAATCTCCCATCTGAACTGGATTTGACGACATTTTAACTCATCAGACAGAAAAGTAAAATCTTTTCTACCTCTTAAAATTTTTGGAGGTATTTCTTTTAAAATTATCATATCTTGAGCTGCAATTTGAAACCTCTTTTTATAAAAAGCCTGTATAATTTCATTATGAATAGATCTTCTGGAAAAGTAAATAACCACATATCTTGGTAAATTTCTCTGTCTAGCAACCCGTGAGTTGACTCTGAAGATTTTTTCTATCTCATTCCCAACTTCTTCTGGTCTCCATCCAAGATTAAAAGCAATATCTCTAACAATAAGCATCTTCAAATCTTCCTGGGAATTTTCTTTCAATCCTCGGATACGCAATGCGAACTCCATTTCTCTGTATTGTGAAATAGTTTGTTCATCCTGTGTAACTTCTATCTTATTCTCCACTTCCTCCATTCTAAATTCCAGTTTTGCTGCATTTTCAGTAATCTCTTCCATTTTATCGTCAATCCTTTCAAAATGCAGGGCAAGACCAGAAAACGCAAATAGTATGTCTTCTCTGACTTGCTTGTTCTTTTTCTCCAATAATTCTTCTGTAATAGCCCTCTCTGCAATTATAAGATCCTTTACCTCCTCTTTAATATCCAAAGCTTTCATTTTTAAAGCCTCTTGTAAGTCTTTGAGAGAGATTGCAGGAGGAGAGGGTGAGAGTGATTTTGGTTTAGGCTGAGAAGCAGGCTGAGTCATTGGGGAAGAGATGGAAGCTTTAGGGACAGAGACCAAATGTTTTGAAGCCATTCTGTTAAGTTCAAAGGAGAAAAATTCTTGCCTCTATAATATCACAGTTCTTTAAGTAATAAAAAAAAAGAAAGAAGGAAGAAAAAAAAAAGAAAGAGGAACAAAATTCTTGCCCCTATATTTAAAACGTGAACTTTTAACTTTGTTACAAAGTCAAACAAGAAAGACAGTCGCCATTTTGCCTTTCACTTTCCCTTTCTTCAAAAGGGAAAGTAAACAAAAATAGGGGGGGAAGATGCTTGCAGGAGTTAAAGTCACAATAAATCTTAAATCCACTTTCTCCTGGTCTGCTCCGTCTGCATTTGAATACTCACAAGCCTCCAAAAAAACCAGATGTGGGAGCGGCGCCTTGCTTCATCCCAGAACTTCGGGACAAAGACGTCCTGGAGTGCGGAGTTGGCTCAGGCTCCGAGGGAGCTCTACCCTCTGATCCCTGAAATTATGGGGATCCAGGGGAGCTCTTACCTCTACCTGAGCAGCTCTTCTCCTCTCTTTCTCCAGGGAAGAGATTCAAGCTGCAGGACAGCTGATTGTAAAACTCCTGCGGCTTTTACACAACCCAGGAACGGGCTGCTTTGTGAAAAGCAGCCATCGTAGCTGCTTGATCCACAGGAAGTCCCCCTTGCATACAAAAATTTGTTATTAAAGCCATAAATTGCCCAGTTTTTCCTTCCCCATTAGCCTTAAAGAAAATCCCTCCTCTGATGGTGATGTTTGCTTTGAAAAATAATGACTGCTGGGTCTGATCTACCTATTTATATCAGGATTGCAGCAATAGTAGAACTAATTACAGATAGTTCTTGTTTAGAAACCACCTCATTTAGCAATTGTGTCACAGTTATGACATTGATGAAAAAGTAATTTTATAACAATAATCACATTTACATCCTTTATAGGATTGTAAAACCAAAGACAACTGAAGTAAGAATATGAGCATGGTTGCAATTTCACTTAATGACTGCTTTGTTTAACAACTGAGTTGTTGGTTCCAGTTCTGGTTGCTAAACTAGGACTACTTGTAAATTCTTGCTTGCCTTTAGGTGAATGGGCATTTCTCCCTTCTTCTCTGCAAAGATCCAAGAGCTAAAAGGCCTGTGAGCCAACAAATAGGACCTTAAAAAACGGGCACTGTGCTGAGCATAGTGAGAGAGGGGTTTACAGGGTAGACTCTGCCAAGGAAGGTGAGAGTTGATGATAAGTAACCCCATATAGTCTTCTTGGCAAACTTTGTGCCAGTAAATAATGTATATAGTGGCAAATACAGGCAGCCTAGAGGAAATAGGAGCTGATACTGTTGTCTACTGTTCTCTTAGACAGTATTTCTCTCCTTTCCATCTCATTACAGGCAAAAGGTCCATGGATCTTCAACAGTAACTCTGTAGCCTCTGTGGCTTATGGCCCAGATTTTAGGAAGGATTGGCAAAAAAAAAAAAATTAATGTTCATATATCTAAACTCAAAACAAAATACATGATCATGTCTATTCTGTATTAGGATAGTAAGGAAAGATTGTTTTGTCACCATTGTAGCCTTGGAATATTGCCCAGACAAGTTTTTCCTAGTACTGTAATTTCGAATTTAATCTGTCTTAGCTCTTCAAGAATCCTTGAAAGTACATGTTTGCAAAAAGACTGTTCTTCTGAAGGACAAATTTCAGCTTATAAGGCAGAGGGCGAGAGCTACGGACTTAGTTGGGTGCAAGGGACTTGGCTGGTGCAGCACTCTTCTACTGCCTATGTGCTCAATCTTTGGCCATATATTGGCTGAGAAGAAACGAAGAGGGAAAGGTCTTACTGCAACAGCTGCTGCAGAGTGACTAATAACTGGTCAACTTCAATTGATTCAGGTACCTCCAAAGGGAGGAAATATCACCAATATGTAAGTAAAGTTTGATTTCTTGTTTCTCATTCAGATTCAGCTTTGGACAGCATTGTATTCTTATTAAAGGAATATATTTACAATCTCAGTGTTTGTTTTTCAGGTGAATTTGCTAATAAGGAAAAGAAGCATTCACTCTGGTATACAAGACAGTTTCCTCCAACTTTGATGGAACTGGGTCTAATTTTTAGGAACTGAAACTTTGAAAAACTTTTCCTTGGCTTTGCTTTTGGAAAACATTTTGTAGAATATGCTATTCTCTTTAATTCTCTCCTGTCCTCTTCTCCTCAAAAAGCTTAATATTATGGAGATAGGTAGGTAGTTTACCTGTGTATGTTTGGCTTTTAGAGTATAGCAAATAACTGTTGTTATACTCTTGTCAAATCAGTTGTTCAATTCTTTTTTAATATGTTATCTTCAATTTTTAGTTTCAGGAATACAATCACTAACTTTGAAACAGAGACGCAGCACTAGAAGGAAGTCAGCAAGAGCTGATTTTTCCAACTCTACTCTGGCATTAGTCTTCTGAGACCACTGAAAACATCTCTGTTAAGTTCTGTCCCCTGATTAATAGGTTTAATAGAGATCTATTCATATTTCTTCCTCCTCAGAAAGGTCTTAAAGATATTTGAGGAGCTTTCAGAGAGGGTACTTAGGAGCTACCTTGGGAAAGAGGTGTAAAGTTGAGAAGCTCACTTTCTTCAGAGTCATTTCATCAGCACAACAGTAGATGATAGTAGCATGTTAATCAGGTATTTTAAGAAGCAAGAAATACTTGCTTCTTAAGAAATACTTAGATATTATAAATTTGCAAGAAATTTAGAAAGTATACTGGACTTAAAATGACCCAGAATGTTAAAGATAAATATTTTCAAAACTTGAGACTATTTTAGGAGGTTTTCTCTTTTTTCATCAGTAGTACTTTATTCATTCCTGGGGTTTTTCTTGCCTTTACAATAAATATCAAGTGTTTTTTTTTTTTTTAATTCAATCTTTCAGTAACATATCCAGTAGTTTCTGGCATTCTTGCTAGACACCTAAAAGTGTGTGGGTGAGTGTTGCTGTTGAATGATTTGGGGGGGGGGGGAACAGGCTGCTGGAGACAGCTGATGTTCTAGAAGGAAACTGTTCCTTCCTGTCAGGGCAGCTGGGAAACAGCCACAAAAGCTATAGGCCCAAGTTGCTATTATAGAAATGTAACTACTTAATACAACTACTTGTATTAAGGCCTTGTGAATCACTAATGCAATACACCAGTCTGTCTGATGTTTGATGAAACCTCTGTTAGACAGGTACTAAATCCAAAGATATATGTCAACATGAGAGATGAATGATATGTAAAAGACCTTGCCCAGATCGCCCAAGAATGTATGGTATAACGTTGCAGTTGGATTAAAATTTTAGATTGAGAGTGGAGGGGGGGGGAATTGCTTTTTAGAAAAGTCTTATTGGTGAGGGATTGGGCAGCTGTCCAAATTTAAAGGGGAAAGAGTGATTCAGAGTGTGCATTTTACAAGCCTAGGAAAAAGCTTAAAAGAATTGTAGGCAGGTGCTATGCATAGACCAATGTGTATTCCAAAATGGCTTTTCTTTTTTAAATCTGAATGATTGTACAATCTTATTATTGATATATGTTTAAATGTGTATATAATAGTTTATGCCTAACCTATATCAAATTTTGCAGCACAATGGAATCCCTGAAATATATTATGTAAAATGGGTCAGAATTGCCTGTTGATCAGCAGGTTAGTTTTCCAAAACCAGAGCAGATCTGGACCACATATTTGATTGGGGCGAGAACAACAAAAAAGTTGGCAGGACCAACTTTGGAGAAATGACCAGGTTTTAAAAAAAACATCCCTGTGAATTTTATGCAACAGCTAAGAATGCTACTGGGTTTTTTTATTCTAATAATGTTTCTTCCTCACTCTTAGCCACAAGACCTGTGGCTAAGGCATTGGAAAGAATTCCAGAAGCAATGCTTTTATGCTTTTCCCATCTTGTTTTCATTAGGAGGTGCTAAATTATGGCCGTGTGGATCCAAGCTCAACAACTTCAAGGAGACGCTCTAAGACAAATGCAGGCCTTATACGGACAACATTTCCCTATAGAGGTTCGCCATTACCTCTCCCAGTGGATTGAGGCACAGCCATGGTAAGTAAAAGTGAAACCAGGTTATCCAGCAGCATTTTCAGCCTTGCAGAGGGATGATATGGAATGGGATATTTATCTTTTATGACTGAAACAAACTTTTGTCCTGCATTATACAGGAAGCATATTATTTTAGCTGTATTGTTCTGGTCTTGAACATCGGTTTACTCCCCTCAGATTACCGTACTGCAATGATAACCATCATTAGGCAATGCGATCACATAACATCACATTATACAACTGTGTTGCTTATTGGTGAAAATTATGGTTCCAGTTGTGGCCATAATTCGAGGACTACCTGTTCCAGAGTTTCTGCCCATTGTATGAACATCCAGAAATGGCAACATATGCTGCCTTTGCCTTCTCATTTTGACCAGGTTATATCAAAGGTGCCTTTGTTGTTCTCAGGTGAGAGTACCCACTTTTCTGCACATACCCACCTCTGCTCTGTGATCTAATTTTCAGGGATTCTATAGACCTTGACAATCCTCAGGAGGGTGTCAGAGCTGCACAGTTGTTGGACGGACTGATCCAGGAACTTCAAAAAAAGGCAGAGCACCAAGTGGGCGAGGATGGCTTCCTTCTAAAGATCAAACTAGGTCATTACGCTACTCAGCTACAGGTGAGTTACAGAGGCTGGGAGTTTGGAAGGTAAAAGAAGGAGTTTTCAAACTTTGCTGTGAGTGAAAGGCTAGTTCCCCACTCTTTCTACCCATTCTTAGGTTGTTCACTCTTTCTTTATAGAATACATATAAACACTGCCCTCTGGAGTTAGTACGCTGTATTAGACACATCCTATACCACGAGCAACGACTAGTTCGAGAAGCTAGAAATGTGAGTATGATTTATTTCCTTTTGCATAAATGTTTCTCCTTCCTGTATCAGTGTGGCCAAATATATTTCTTTGGCAATAATATCCGTACTTTTTCTATATGCACAGAGCCCATTACTAGCTAGCAGCATGGCTGATGCCGTGACTCAGAAGCATCTTCAGATCAACCAGACTTTTGATGAATTACGCCTGATCACCCAGGACACTGAGAACCAACTGAAAAAGCTTCAGCAGCATCAGGAATATTTCATCATCCAGTACCAAGAGAGCCTTCATCTACAAGGTATATCTATGGGAATAGAGGAGGAATAGTATCTCATTAACAAAATTGAAATTCTAATACTAATATCTAGCCTTCGTAATATGAATATTAACATATAATGATGAAGTAATAGAACCTACATTTGAATATGAAACATTCCACTCTCAACTCTGGCATCTCCTAGTAGGACTAGAACAGACCTCTGTTGAAAATCCTGCAGAATCAGTTTAAAGTGAAGTGAGCTGGATGGATGGTATTCTTTCCTATGTTCTTCAACTGGATTTTTAAAGGAAGTTGTACAGGTAGCCCTTGACTTATAGCCAGTCACTTAGTGATTGATCAGAGTTACAACCAACCTAAAAAATGGGACTTACAACCTGGATTCTGATGATCAGGCCCCCTTCCATGGTCATGGGACTGAATTTAGGGCACTCATAGGCAGCATCATATAACCATATTTTACAATGGTTTTGCTGAAAACTGGCATTTCTGTTTTTTTTTTTCAAAACTGCGTCCATAGTGAACCATCAGTCCGCTTAATGACTGGAATTCACCTAACAATCACCATGTTCACATTACAACTATGGTATTCACTTAATGGCTGCCACAAAATATGTTGTAGGATCGGGGAGGTCCTGTGTGATCAACATGTTTTACCATTACGACATACAGCCATAACGGGCAGTATGCCAAGGACCACTTATAAAGTGGTCACACAGATAAAATTGAATGCAAGGAGCTCCCTTCTGGTAGGTGGGAACTGACAGGTAATTTGAGGTTATTCAAGGCAAGGCCTAATTTTATGCTTCCTTTCTAGCCCAATTCACTCAGCTCTCTCAGCTAAGCCCACAGGAACGTATGGTCCGTGAGCCTACTCTGCAGCAAAAAAAGTCATCTCTGGAAGCTTGGCTACACCGGGAGGCTCAGACACTGCAACAGTATCGTGTAGTAAGTCCCAGCCTCCCAAGTCCTAATTCTGACTTTCTATTTTCTTTCCTATTAGGCTTTGTTGCTGTTGTTGTTGTTAATACCATATTCAAAATGCTTTTTGTACTCCTCAGGAACTGGCTGAAAAGCACCAGCAGACACTGGCTTTGCTTCGCAAGCAGCAGACTATAATCTTGGATGATGAGTTGATCCAGTGGAAGAGGAGGCAGCAACTAGCAGGAAATGGTGGCCCTCCTGAGGGGCCTTTAGATGGCCTGCAAGCATGGTAGATAGCATGAGAGGGAGCAGGGATTAGAGAGGAAAGAAGATGTAGAAGAAGAGCAGGCAGAGCTGTGGGGAGTGGGGAATTAAGCACGTCATCAGCTTAGAGTCATTATGTTACCACAAATGATCTAAGTCCAGCCCTCCTGAATTCATGCTTCTTTGTCTTGTGTTCATCTCTGCTTTAATTTCCTCCACTCAGCTATCTCTTCCCCCACTCTGTGCTTTTGGTCACCCTGCATTGCAATGCCTACTCCTGCTGCCCACCACTATCCCATTCTGCCCCCAGTTCACCTTCACCATCTTCTTCCTCCCACTGCTCTCACAACAGCAGAGTGTAGGACAATCAAAAGGGTGGGGGCAGATAGTCAGGTGGGGAGAGTCGAAGCACATGCTGCAGTCATAAATGTGGGCAAGCACCCAAATTTTGATTATGTGCTTCAATGGCTGTAACTTTGAGCAGCAATCTTAACTACAACTCATTTAGCACCATTGTAACTTCAAATAGTCACTGAATAAATGATAATTAAATGAGGACTACTTGCAAGTTGTATCTGTAAATGATTTTCACTAATCCCATTATATATAATATTTTGCACTCCTCTCTATGAGAAGATTATACTGCCTATAGTATGTCATAAGAGTGCTTGCATTCAGCTTAAAATAGTAGCTGCTATAACTAGTCCCTACTTCTTGATATCTTTCCTGTAGAATTTTCAGGATTGCATCCTGGCCTATAGATTGACAGAAATAAAAATCAGAAAAGAAGATTACTATTAATCTCAATTTGGAACGCTTTTTAAAATAACCTTCATCTTTGCCTCCGCTTTATGTCTTCAGGCTCAGGGCTAATTCAAATTAAATTTATGGTTGATCCAACAATTACATTGTGCAGCATATCCATAACATTAACAATCCACAAGCAAAATGAAATAATTAAATTAAAAACCATACTTAACAACCATACATGGCTACTACACAACAGGGCCATTTATTTTTATATGATTATCTCTTGAAATGCAAAACAACATTAATGTAGAATTGATCCAGTATCCTAACTTAATTGAACCCAAATAATAATAAATAACAATGATGGATAATGGAAAAAAAATGCAAAAGGTAGCCCATAGTCTGTGTATAATCCAATACTTCTTTTGAATTTCTAATCTGAAATAGCTGTCAGATAGTGGTTTTAAGCAATTTGAGCTTTGTCAGCATAATGGTTGGAGATAGCGTGTTTTGGCATCATTAAGAAATATATATTGTGTTGGGATCATTTTCCCTAAGGCTTTTTGTGCTCCTCATCACATACTATTTTTCCTAGACCTAACTAACCCTACATATGCTCCCTCTTCTTTTCCTAATTCTAAAGTTGTTAGTCTTTCAAGAATGAATATGTTAGTTTTTCAGGTACCACAAGATTCTGTGGCACTACTTTCTAGCATCTAGTTTCTGACCAACTAGAATATAATGAGTTTCTTCCCTAGGTGTGAAAAACTGGCTGAGTTCATTTGCCAGAACCGCCAACAAGTACGCCGTGCTGAACACTTATACCAGCAGCTGCCTATTCCAGGACCCATTGAGGAATTGCTCTCAGATGTTAATGGCACCGTCACAGACATAATTTCTGCTCTAGTCACTAGGTAGGATTGCGTTGTTAGACATACTTGCTTTCTACAGAGACCTTTTATTATTAGAATGAATTGTTATTTCAATGCTTTTTTGCTTGTCTAATATGTGTTATTATTACCCAATGTCTTTTGCCAGTTGTGGGTTGTTACTGTGATATTTGAGTACAACTAGTCCTTGACTTAGGACCATTTCTTTAATGAGAGTTCAAAGTTATGGCCTCAGAAAAAGTGATCTATGACCCATCTTCGCAATTACAACCATTCGACCACCCCCGAAGTCATGTGATCACAATTTGGGCTCTTTTTTATGACAGTTGCAGTATCTAGCAGTCATATAATTGCAATTTACAACCTTCTCAGCCAGCTTCTGACAAGTAAAATCAATTGGGGAAGCTGGCATTTCCTTCATTCACTTAATGACCTCAGTAAAAATGGTGGTAAAATTGGGCCTGGTCATGTGGTGACTTGCTGAAAGGCCATATCACTTAATGGCCAAAAATCCAGCCCTGATTGTGATCATAAGTCAAGGTATACTTGTAGTTTATAGATGTGGGTTGTTTTTTGCTTCATTGGGGTTTGTAGTTTGCCATTGTTTTTTTTTTTGCTGAAGAGATGTATATACTGAGTCACAAAAGCTAGAACTTCTTTTGCAGTCTTTCACCTTCTGTAACAATTGACTTGATCTCCCCCCCCCCTCCACCTTCTCTCCTTATAGCACATTCATAATAGAAAAGCAGCCTCCACAGGTGCTAAAGACTCAGACTAAGTTTGCAGCAACAGTACGACTACTGGTTGGAGGAAAGTTAAATGTTCATATGAACCCCCCACAAGTAAAAGCCACCATCATCAGTGAGCAGCAAGCCAAAGCTCTACTGAAGAATGAGAGTACCCGCAAGTATGTATGTTTCTTACAGGCTAAGGAAGCAAAGGAAAGGAGGACAATATTCATTTCTCCTTAACCTGCTTTCTTACTACTTGCTATCCTCCATAAGTGTGGCTTTCCAATCCCAACACTTCTGAAGGATGCTGCTCTAAGAAAAGCTGTCAGAAGATGATGTGAAGAGGATAAATTAATAAATAGAAATTTGCCATTAATATTCTTAAACAAGAATATAATCATTGGCAAGGTATCTAGTAACTTTCACTGTTTACCCAAGATGCTAAAGTATTAAAAGCAAGAAAGTTAGTCTGAATTTCAACCTAACTTTCAGGGCTAGAAGCTTTAAGCCTTCTTATTTGATTGCTTCTTTGCCACTCTTACAACCTGTGACTAAGCCAGCTTTCATTACTTATATCCTTGTCACAGTTTGTCAGTATTTGGTTGGAGAAAACTTTCACCTGAGAAGGTAGAAATTTGGTGAACATTATAGGAAACATTTAAGCTTACCTAAAAGATTAAGGCAAGGGCAACAGAGGAAAAGGTGATTGTTTTGTTTTAAGTAATTCAGTGTACATTATATATTCATTTGCTTATAATAGATGTCTCAGAATTCTGAAAAGCAGATTTTATTAAGCCATGATAACCAATCTAAAATGTCCATTGGATGGAGCCATATCATCGGTATCCCCCTGGTGCAAAATTAACACTTTCAGTGGGATGATAGTGAATCACCAGTGGTATGTTGGCTTGCATTCAACTAGCTGCCATTTCTTTTTTTTGGCAGTGAGTCCAGCGGTGATATCTTGAACAATTCCTGTGTTATGGAATATCATCAGGCAACTGGAACACTGAGTGCTCATTTCCGCAACATGGTGAGAGATGCCTTCACTGATTCACATTATCTACCCCACTGTTTATTTTCCTCTTGAAAATATAACTAAGGAAGAAAGCCTCATCACTATTGTAGTCCAACATCTTCTAAAGATTGACTCTAGATTTAGCCTTTAATAACTTGGTGTGGAAAGTAAAATTACAAAGTAAATTTCCTCTGGATGATCTGAGTATATAGCTGAACTCATGCTTAAGGTTTTTATTCTTGAGTGTTATGTAGACTTTTTTGACAATCTGTGCTCTGTCTCCTGTATCTTGTGTCTGCCTTTATTATCTCATCCATCCGCAGTCCCTGAAGCGGATCAAGCGTTCAGATCGTCGTGGTGCTGAGTCAGTGACTGAGGAGAAGTTCACCATTCTTTTTGAGTCTCACTTCAGTGTAGGTGGCAATGAGCTGGTATTCCAGGTGAAGACATTATCTCTGCCTGTGGTGGTAATTGTGCATGGCAGCCAGGATAATAATGCCACTGCCACAGTGCTGTGGGACAACGCTTTTGCAGAGCCAGGACGCGTGCCCTTTGCTGTGCCAGACAAAGTGATGTGGTCCCAGTTGTGTGAAGCTCTCAACATGAAGTTCAAGTCTGAAGTCCAGAGCAGTCGTGGACTCACCAAAGAGAACTTCCTCTTTCTTGCCCAAAAGCTCTTCAATAGCAGCATGAATCATTTGGAAGATTATAACAATATGACTGTCTCCTGGGCTCAGTTCAACAGGGTAAATAAGAAACCAATTAACAATTAGATTTTCCAGAAAACCACTTTGTGGGAAGTAGTTTGGCCTACAGGCCTTTCCATCACCATAACTTTCTCCCCAGGGTTTTTTTTTTTCATTTCCCATCTGCATCACTGTCATGTGTTCTCTTTATCTCTCTGCTGCTCAATCTGCTTTTGGGATAAAAAAGGGACAATTCAGTTTGTAAATGTAATCCTGAACTGTCTTGGAGCTACACCTGCAGCTGATACAATAAATAGCTAGTCATGTAAATGCAGATTTATTTCATGCCTTTTTCAAAAGAACATCTCCGTCTTTAAAATCACCAAACCATCAGATGATTAAAAGAACTTAATCTGCTGATGGTCTACTGAGAAACTTTTCTTTATAAGTACAGGAAAATTTTTGTTCTTATAAAGAGAAGAAAAACCTAAGTATTGGAGTTGCTTTCTCTTGGGCTCTTTGGTAATCTCTTCATCTCAGTCCTTGACCTGCAAAAGGGAATAACATTAATTTACTTCACAGAAAGGAGGAGAACAATAAAACAGTTTTACTATTAAACTTAATGATAATCCTAACTATGCTAGAAGAGTTCATTCATGCAACTAGTGAGAAGAAATCTGTTTTGACAAGATTAAAAACCAAATGAATAAATTCATATATATAACTTTGATAACAGCTCAGGAATATTGAGTTATTTCTTGCATAATATAAACTAAAGATGTATTAATCAGACAGTGAATTTTGAACTCCTAATTTCTTAGATCTCATTCTTAACATTAAATAGGCTCCCATTAAACTTGGAGGTTGCTTGTTTTCAAGACTGTCTCAGAATTAAATCATTTGCTAAGTGACTCTGAGGGGAGAACAGATTAGGATTTACAGATAATACAAAAGTTGCACAAAATGTAACAAAATAAAAGATGCCCACAGTGAAAAGAAACATAAAAAATGATGCTTAAAAGTTTGTGAGACTTTTTGAACTTTCACCATTTCTGCATAAATGTGGCCTAAAACACAATTTATTCTCCACATAAGTCTTAAAATTAGATAAAGAAAATCCATTTAAATAAATGATTTAAAAATATATTTTAATAAAAAAATGTTCATTTATTTATTGAGAAAAATGATCTAAAGCTACATGTTTGTGTAGTATGCGAACCTTTGCTTTCAGTAACTGGTGTACCCACTTTGAACAGAAATAACCTTGATTAAACATTTCTGGTAACTGTTGATTATAAGCTTGGAGGAAGATTAGCACATTCCTCCTTACAGAACAACTTCAGTTTATTAGTTCATTAGACATACATCAAAATCCTTCTTGAAATAGTTTAAACACTGTCTCATAATATCACCATATGAACTGTCTTCTTGCATCAGCAGAAATATATTTGGGGACTGTATATAAAATATAAAGTTTACTACATGCATACATTTTGTACAACTTAATCAATTGTACAGACTAATTGAATTCCTTTTAAAAATTGAGAGTCACTCAACAGTGCAGAAATAAATAATAAAAATAAAATAAAAGTCTCCCGTAGTTAATCATTCAAATCCATGAAGGTGCGATTTTTTCCCCAACTATTGTTCCATCAGTTTGGAGTCACTTAGCCTTAAAAGAATATGTATTATGTTTCTGATGAATACGATTGCCTGTGTAGTTTGCTATAAATCTGTTCTTTCTCTAATATATTAGTACAGGATCAGAGAAAATATAAACACCTCCAATAACCATAGAAAGATTTCAGATCCATATTTTTCTTTCTTTTCATTTAACTAGGAGAATCTTCCAGGACGAAATTATACATTCTGGCAGTGGTTTGATGGAGTGATGGAGGTCCTGAAGAAACATCTGAAGCCTCACTGGAATGATGGGTAAAAGTCCTATTCCCCATTCCCCTTCAACTTACTTTTCCCTGTCTAGATACTTAGCTGGCTAATTTCTCTCTATCACTTCCGCTTCTCTAGGGCTATTCTAGGTTTTATCAACAAGCAGCAAGCACATGATTTGCTAATCAGCAAACCAGATGGAACTTTCCTCTTGAGGTTCAGTGACTCTGAAATTGGAGGGATTACAGTTGCCTGGAAGTTTGAAAATGGTAAGTTCTTTTTCAACAACATTAATACCTATTTTGATCACCATAAGAACTTTTCTAAACAGATGTGGCATAAACAGTACACAGTTGTTACCCATTGTTGCTGGAATGCTAGGCCTCTCCTGCTGTATCTATTGTAAGAATATCCTGTATTTCCTGCAATCCATAGAAATACCTTTGAAGTCTGAAGGATAGTCTCTGCATATTGAGCCTATATTATTTTATCTGATTATGATCTGGGGTTTTTTGCAGCTGAGAGAATGTTCTGGAACTTAATGCCTTTCACCACCCGTGACTTCTCCATCCGCTCCCTGGCAGACCGCCTTGGTGATCTCCCATATCTCACTTATGTGTATCCTGACAGACCCAAGGAAGATGTTTTCTCCAAATATTATATGCCAATCACTTCAGGTATTTGCAGGAAAGTGCCTAATTTTTTCCTGACCATTGCCTTTTCCAATGGATACATATATATATATAATACTTTCATTCCCAGCAGAGGAACGTAGACAATTTCAAATCCTTTCTCCTTTGGCCATATAAACTGTATTACAATGATATACATAGTTTTAGAAACATCCTTGGTATTACGGAAAATATTACCAAAAATGTTTAAAAATGCACTATTAAAAAGAGAGGTAAATGCTAGTGCAAAGGGAGAAGGCAGTGGTACAGCTACATTGGAGCTGCATATTTTTTCTAAAAGATGGAAATAGTGATAAAGACAATTAAAGTAAAACAGGTATTTTTCACGACTAGTTTTTGTTTTTTGGTGAGGAAGGAAAGGTTCTCTTAATGTCCATGTCAGTTGAATAGTTGAGAAGAATAAAATGTGTTTCAATTTACTTACTTATTTTGAGCAGTTTCAAAATATACTTATATGCAAATCTTCAACATGGATTTTTCTCAAGAAAAGATTTGCAGAGCCACAAGGAAAAGGAATGGTGTAGCTTTCAGAATGAATATTGTACAAACAAAACAGACAAACCAAATTCATTCTTTCCTCCTTGGGAAGAGTTTCAGCATGCATTACTACTATTTCCAAAAAGGATTCCTATGTAAAGTTTGTCTTATACAGTAACTATATACGCTTCTCTCTCACACACCCCATCTCCTTGGTTTTGTAGCAAAGGCTATAGATGGATACGTAAAGCCACAGATCAAGCAAGTTGTACCAGAGTAAGTACTGTGGGTTGAGAAAATGCATTTTGATTTTTTAAAGGGAGGGAGAAATAAGGAAGAAGTGGTAGCTATTTACTTTCAATTGCAATTCTTTTTTTTCCCAGCTCTTTTTTCAGAGTTATCTTTTCAGCTAGGAGTGCCAGAATTGTCCTAACAACCCATCTTCAGATTTAGTTATTCCATCTCCCAACGGGATTTATAATTTTAAAAATTTGAAGCAAGCAAATTTTTGAGTTTCCATTTTGCTAGCTTCAGTGCAAAGATAGGAATGAGAAAAAGTTGATATTAAGGTGTTGTAGCTTGATGGTTGCACTTTCTAAAAAAAAAAAGGAGTTTGGGTTCTCTGTGCAATTATGTCTCTGCTTTCTGATTCTTTTCAGACCAGGGCGATTGTGGATATTTATTTCAAGGAAGGAATCTGAAATGTGTATTCCTGCTTTCCATAAAATCATCCCCAAACAGTTTATGTTCTTCTTACCACTGAGGAATCCATTGGTGTCAGGCGAAAATCTTTCTCTGTTTCTGCTCCATCTGTTGTAGGTTTGCTGCCTCATCAGGAGACTCTATTGGTGCAGGGACTTCCTACATGGAACAAGCATCCTCACCAGCTGTTTGCCCTCCTGCTCCTCACTACAACATGTACACACAAAAGTAAGTGAGGCAAGACCTTTGCCATTGAAAGTTTTCTGCTATTGTAGTGTCTTGCGTTGTATAGCTGAAAACATACTAATCTTGCAACATACTGTAAATATTCCGTTTGCATGTTCCTCCATCTGCTTTAAGAAAGAGGTTGCTGTCATATCACTGCCCAGTTAACTGACGTTGGAAGAGACTGAGGAGTTCATCAGCCCCCTGGATGGGGAACGGAGTACATAAAAATAAGAATAATATTAAGAATATTAATATTCTTAATAAGAAGAATGGTATTTGAGAAGAGACAGTAGTGTCTTTGGGCTCTTGCAGCTTTCATCGGAATAATAAAAGAAGTCTCAGAGCATTGTGCTGGGTGTCACCCCTTTCTTGATGCACTCAGAAAAGGGACTATACCTGAATTGAAGTGCTGTTTGCATCATTTTGACAAGTGCCCTGTTCCCTCTGGGACACCACCTCATTTAAATTGCCACTAAACAACTATTTGGAGAACAGAGTGATTTATGAAAAGGACATAGCATGGGAATGTTCCTGGACACCACAGTGGCAAACATTGTAATGCTAGTTCTGCCAACTCCTCAAATCTCCAGCTGGTTACTGCCACTCATGGAGAGAGCTTGTATAGTCTTATAATGAGTGTTCTATTTTTGAATGCTGTCCCTATACAGAAAGAAAAAATAATAAACCGGGAGAAAATGAAGAGGCACAAAAAGTGTGGCACACCAACATCTCGCTTATGATCCTCAGAATTTCCCCAGAATGCATGGAACTTAAATTTGAGCCCTATGGAGAGGATATTTTGCCATTTGGGGAGTGATAATAATGTACCTTAAGCTTTACAGGTTCTTAAGACACCCATTTACTCTTGCAATGCCTTCCCCAAACGTTTCCTGTTTTAGGGAGTGTGTCCTTCAGCATTCTACACAAATCCTTTTGCACTCCTTCAATCAACAAAGGTTCTGCACTATACCTTATCATTTCCTACTGAAATATTTTTTTTAATTTACACAGAGACTTCTTTTTAATGCAAAAGGTGACATCTTTATAAAGTGATCCTATATGCACTTACCACAGTCTAAAATAGTAAATTCATTCAATTCAGGTTTTCCCCATCTGCTTTTGTTGCAAATATAGCATGTTACCTTAACTCTATGGGCAATGTTTAAATTTCACTTTACCTGTGGAGTTGGATATCCCACTCCTCAGTATTTCCCTAGTAAGAACAAAGATGAAAACCTCAGAAATCATGTCTATAAAGATTTTTAAAAATGTAAAGAATTAGGAAAAGTCATAGCCCTCCCCTCTCTAAATTGGAGGGGGGAAATGAATGAATTTGAAAGGACTACATATTTTTCTAAAGCCAGATCATTAGAATGTCTTCCAAACAGCCTCTTGAGAAAGTTTTCCAAAATAGATTTCAGAAACAGCTTTTTTGGAATTCACAGTTTTTCTCTCTTTCTCAGTCCTGACTCAGTGCTGGATCCAGAAGGAGACTTCGACTTGGATGATTCAATGGATGTGGCACGACATGTGGAGGAGTTGCTGAGGCGCCCCATTGACAACCAGTGGATCTCCCATAATCAGTCTTGATCCTGCCCCTTCCCTGGAGAGACCATGAGGCAACTGTGAAATATTAGAAGCACTTCCCTGAGGGAGTTTGTAGCTGCTGCAAGAATGGGTTTCCTCACCCTGTGGGGAATCTCTGGCTGAGAGGGTAAGGTACCAAAGGGACAGTGGGTGCTGTTTCTCCCCTCACCCATGTGGGGAAGGCAGTAGAGTGTTTTGCTTGATTTTCTATCTGCTCTTCTGAGAAGCTTGCCTCAGGCTTTCCGCTTCTGCACACCGACTCCTTCTGCCAAGCTATCATTTCATTTATGCTGGGAACCCTTCTCTTTCCTCCTCCTCCTCCTCCCAGAATGTAATACACACTGCCCTTCTTGTCTAGAAGCCTTTTGGTATCTGGGACAAGAAGTGAGTAGAGTTAGGTAGAGTTAGCCTTATTCAAAGTCTTGTCATTTAATGATTTATTTCTATTCTTTGCTCCTTCCAAGATAAACAGTATGCTTGTGCCTGCATTTGACTTACGCTTCCAGGGTACATGCCTGTGTGCAGCTTTCTGTGTAAAAAAGGCATTCAGTCTGGGAGCGTTGCTTTTTTTTTTTTTTTTTGGGAGCCTTTGATGCAGTGCAGCCCACCCCTGCCTTAGTGCTCTGGAGCCCTTTTTTTGCAGGCCTAAAACCCACTTCCAGCTTTTTCAATTTGCCTTGTTGCAAGATGCTTACTTACCTCTAAGTAATTTAGTGCTATTGGCTTTTGACATGTCAGATGCTTTTTTCCTACGAATCACAAATACAGCAGATTGTGGAGGAGGCTTTCATTAAAATACAGAATTACACTTAGAATAATGGTTTCCCTCTTCTTGAATTTGAGGGCAGTGACTGGAGAGCAGTTCCAAGGATTTAACTGATAAGTACAGAGGAAAAAAGACCTTCTGACTTCTAAATGTCCCAACAAACTTTTATATTTCTCTTCTCTCCCTCCACTGCCTCCTCATTAGGCTGAACAACTGGGAAAACAGATTCATATATGCACTATTTTTATACCTAGTATTCAGTAAAGCTCAGATTATTTTAACAGTTACAGATTTTACATATATATCTGTGGGCCAGGTGCTATATTTAGAAAAATGGCCCAATTTCTAGTCCAGCCACAATTATATTTTTGTTGGGATTTACAAACTACCCAACAAAAGTCATATGGGGCATGGGAGAGCTTATTTTAAAATATAAACATTAGGTAATTTTATCTAAGCAAAAAATTTTGCAACAGAGGAGCTTGACTACTTTTTACTCCTCAGGAACTCCCCCAACTGCTGATTGAGCTAAGAAAAAGCATGTTATATGTACTTTGCCCTGCGGTAACTCTTATAACAACTGTTTGAAGGTTAGAAAATATATATCTTTAGGGTAAACAAAGTCTAGTCACTTGGAAGTCATCCTTAAAGATCAGATATTGTTGAAACGATTTCTTGCTTTCTGCTAATATTCTGTCCTCAAACAAGTCATTTCTAGGAATAACTATGATACTCTTTAGGATAGTATATTCATTATAGTGGAATCATCAGCAAATGCATCAATAGCTATTGTCTTTGGAAAATGAATTTTCCCCACCCAAAATAGGGTTAGTTGCTTCACTACTGTAACTCACTTCTCTTGCTAATACCTGCAACATAAGTAAATTTCTCTCTGAACTCCCTGCATTATTTTGAAAAACTGGTAGTTAAAATTTATATATATATATATATATATATATATATATATATATATATATATATATATATATATAAAGCTTTTTCTTCTGCATAAGCTTATTATACTACTTACTACAGTATTTTTAAAGATTCCTTCTTATAATAATACATTTATTTTCATCTTCTTTCACTGTGCAGTGATACAGTCATTGTTGCAGTCAGCAGTAGTATCTTACAGTATCTTTAGTATAGTTATAAGAAAGTCCTGAGGACATGTCCCAGGACCATACAGTTATGCTACAGTAATAATTTAGTCTCTAGCACAAATTAAATCTTTGAACTTTATTTACATTGATTTCAATTTTTTCATTCATAGTTTTGAAATCCTTCTCCTGATACATTACTTTTTTTCCTCTCATTTTTGATTAGTCTTTTCATTGCCTTTATTTGAATGACTGTGGGCAATAATGCTTCTCAAATACCACTTTCTAAACTGGGATAGAATGTTCCTGGGAAGTATTATTTATACCCAGTTCAAAATATTTTCATATCTTAGGCCAAACTGGTGCCCTCCAGATGTAATGGACACTAATACTTATCATTCCAGCTAGCAATTTATAGGGGTGGCTGATCTAGCCTCAACTTCCTTATTTTATCATCCTTATATGTTAGCTGACTTTCTTTCAAACTAGTTTCCTGTCTCAAGATTCTTTTGAGGTTGCACACAAACATCCTTACTGTCCTTTAAGCAAATATTAATAATTTTATGTAGTTATTGTATCAGCACAATCTTACAAAGTCTATTCTTAAGTCAGTAATCAATGGGATTCACTTCCAAATAAAAATACAGAGTAGAGATGGTGAATTTGCAGACATGGTGAATTTGCAGTCTCCCAGATTTTCTGGTTGCAGTTTCCAACATTTTGAACCATCATGATCAGTGGAAAGGGAAGGATGAGACTTGCAGTTTTCTGAACTACATATGAATTACATAATTGATATTTTCCCATCTTATTTTAATGATAAGCCATAGTAGCCTGGTTCACACACTGTGTTAAGCCATAAAGTATGGTCAACGAATCATAACTGTGAAGGTTGTACTTGTCCAAAGCCAAATCAATCAGGTTATGATTTAGCACAATGTGTGGACCCCAGTTTTAATATATTTACTGGTTCTGTTGTGTCTATAGTAGAAAACTGTCTCCAGCAGAGGAGTCTCCATTTCAGAAATTAAATTTTGGATTTCTGCACAAAAATGATACATTCTACTCCTGAGTTAAGGCCCTTTAGTGGCATTTTCCACAAATTTTAATTTGCATTTTTTAATAGACTGCATACAGTACCTGTAATTACCAATGTGCTCATCAATCTCTCTCCCCTGATATTTGTTAAACTTACTATACCATTTGACGTTTATTTTTAAAAAGAAAGAGAAATAAGACACCAGAGTGCTCTAACATTACCTTTATTGCTGGAAGTAATTCTGGACTCACACGGCCACAGAGACAATTCTTAGAGATGATGAGTGGCTGGCCCCAATGCTCTGGAAATATGTACATCTCTCCAGAAAAAAATCAAATGCCTAAGTTAAGGTGCTAAACAATCACCATTTAGTCTTGGATTGATAATATTTGTAAGAGGCTGTTTGTACATGAGCAAGTCTACTTTGCATCTACTTTGCTGAGCCTGCTCACAATAGGTTTCAAAATCTCACACATCTACAGAGGCTCCCTACTGCCCATCATTTACATGACTTTTAGAAACCTGAGGTTTTATTGAGCCCTTTCCTCCATAACAAGAATAACTCCCACCTTAACTAAGTTGTGTTCAAATGCCATTGGTGGCTGTTCAAGATCAGCACATAGAACTGACCCATAGGGATGTTTTCTGCTATACAGTTTGGTATGCCCACTCAAAATGAAAAAATATCTGCAACAGAAGTATGTTGTTAATGTTAATGGTGCTTCTGTTTAGTTTAGTATAAATTGCACACATATTCTTGGTGGACTGTGCCTACTTCATTTTCATTAGTCCAAATGGGTCTGGCTATTGTTTCATAGTGTAGAGGAAGATATCCATAAAAATGAGACATACAAACATTGCACTATTTTAAAGAATTGTTTTGCCAAATGTTTAAATGGTATACAGAGTAAAATTTTCTGCTAAATATATTGTTTGTGTTTGAAAAAAACTTATGAAGCTAATGTATTCATTTTTGTTTTAGAACAGCCTCAAGATATATTGCTTAAATGCTTTTAAAGGGTTTTTTTTTTTGACACAAAAGCCATTTATGTGAAAAAATATCCTTTTTTGCTGAAATATCCATGTTTTGAAAAAATGTTGTTATCTTTGTGCTACAATAAAGTATTGTCAGGGTAGTAATGACTAATGTAGTTTCTAACTCCAGATACCCAGTACACCCAGAGGGAAAAATATTGTGCCTGTAACTGAACAAATACAATAACAATTTGGTTGAAATGCTCATAACAAGAAACAAGAGCTACAGAGTTTATGTGCTAATAAATATATGCAAAAGGAGTCCTTGAGACAAGTGGGAGACACAATAAGGCAGATCTGTATAGGTATTACATCATATCAGTATGGCTGTTTCACTTGTCAAAAAAGTGATACACTTCACACATCTGTCTAAATGCAATTTGGGTTTTTTTTCCTCCTTGAGTAATTTTAATATAGGACTTTGGGCCATTTCAACTTTTGTGTACTGTAAAATACAATGTATTTCAAAGTTATACCACTATTAGCATTATTTGTGGACTATTTAAGAAACAACCAGCTGATAATGTCATTTTTCCCAAACAGCAACTATGTTTTTCTTTTTTCATTTTGCTGCTTTTTTCAGGCTGCAGCTGAATTTTTTTGAATATGAGCACATGATGTTTTACATATGAAAGTTGTGTTGATACATATTGTGCCACACAGAAAGCAGTTAAAACTATTACTTTTTAATACATTTTAATTTTTTGGTAACTTTGTCCTTTACATGTGAAAATTCAACTACATTACAGAAAAAAATGGTGCCTATGCATTTTATAGGTTTGTGTTTTAAGACAATAATTCAAACAATTCTGTAGTGTTATAAGACACCGTGGCTTATTTTTGAATAGCCACACATAGATTTGTAGAGCTTACTGAACCTGCATGACCCCTTTCTGTGTTCCAGTTCCCTATTCCGTTGCCACCAATTTTCAGTAAGTGGAGAGGAAAGCATTTGACTTAGAAAAAAATGAATGAGGTTTTATAAATGGAAATATATTAGTGGGTGGGTGGGCTGGTGGGTTGCTTGGTTGGTTGATAAATGGGGCAGAATCGTGCCACAGTAACACATATTGCTGCATCCTTTGATTAGTAAAGAATATGGCCCTTCCCAAAGCAAATCATTTCTGATATTTCTGACAGCCATTTTTGGACATTTGGAACAATTTGGAATGTCTTTGGACATTCTGCCTCATGATTCGCAGTTTCTCTATTCTCTGGGACAAGTTGGAAGAAGAATGAAAAACAGGCTAACATTCTTCACTTGTATTCTTTTAAGCATTTTGCCTTAGAGCATTGGACCGGGCACTAACACACATTGAAAATAAGTTGAAAGCAGCCACTTGCATTCATTTTAACAACTTGCTTTCATTTTGCTTTATGAGAAGGGCATTCTGACAGTGGCTATATAATGCCTGGTGTATTGCAAGCCAAAACTATGCTCACATCAGATGTGTATCTCTATTTCTACTCGTTTCCCATTCCTTGCAACAGAAGGCAAAAAAAAATTCATCCCTGCCATCTTATATGTTAAACAATGCAGTCAGCAGAGAGCACTCAAATGTTTTTCTTTTTTCACCTTGGACAGGCATCTGGGCAACCTATAGCCAGGTGGTTCGTTCTCTCTAACCTACAACGGTGAGATCTCCAACCCTTTCTGCAATTTCAAATGTGTCCAAAAGAGTCCTCACAGCAGAGCACACAGTTCAGACCATCCAATGCTGACATTGCCCTCTATAAGTTCCACCAAAACCTGTTTGTTTTCTCAGGCACAGATGATTTCTATATAGGCTATGTTTACTGACCTCGATATTTGCATGTCCGAGTCTTTAAAAAAAGTGTCCAAAGATGAAGGGTGGCTGGGGTAGGGGTAGAGGGGGAAGAGGATGAGCAGCCAGCTTGCTTTGATTGAAAAACAAATGTTATTTGCATTATACATTGGTTTCTAGCGACACCTATAAGAGCCTGCAAAGACCTCTGTGTCTAACTGGGAGCAGCAGTCTTTCTTAAGTGCAAAATCAAGCTATGATCTCCTAAATGAGCAATGAAAGCCCTGAATAAGGAGACTGAACTCTCATGAGGGGAGAGCATCTATCCCCAAAGGAGTCAGCTATAGAGCAAGCAAGAACCTGTTACCTCAATTGTCTCTCTATGCTGGACAGTCTTAATCACAGTAATTATATAGGCAAACCTGCAAAAATTCTCTCAAAGAAAAAGTTTTTGAAATAATTTTTCCTTATTTTTTCTTCAATTGTTTTAAATCAGCTATATTAGTGTTTTTCAGCCTTGGTGATAGTTAAGATGTGAGGACATCAGCTGGCTGGGGAATTCTGGGAGTTGAAGTCTAAAGGTGCCAGGTTGGAAAACACTGGTCTACACAATCAGGCAAATAAGGCTGTGCAAAGGTCTCAACTATACTTCCCATCCAGTTCGGCATGATAAGTCTCTTTGTGCCATTTAAGTCTAAACATCTTAGCTGGCAATTTCACAAAGAGTCCTTTGTCTGAAGCTGCACTAAAATGGCTCTTGAGTCCCAGCCATCTGCAGGAAGGAAGGAAGGAAGACAGAAAAGCGGTTTCACCTGGCAAGGAACATGCAAGAAGAGTTACATCTTGGGAAACTGGAAGTGATACTGCTTTAACTTAATCTTCTTCAACCTGTTGCCCTCTGGATGTACTGGTATCACAACTCTCAGATTATCTCTGGCAGCATGAAGAATGGAAGGTTGCCTTAACTTGTATTGTCAGGATACTGTTCAATTCTGGGT